TATTATTAATAATAAACTGTCAGATTTGGTGTCTGATATGTTATCTACCTTCCTTTCCACTTCCTATTTGTTTTATTTTGTTTTACAGCCATTCCAAGCATCATAGGAAGCCATGGCACACCAGAAAATATCAGTGTGGTAGAAAAGAACTCAGTGTCCCTGACCTGTGAAGCATCAGGAATTCCCCTGCCTACGATTACTTGGCTTAAAGATGGGTGGCCTGTCAGCCTTAGCAGCTCTGTGAGAATTCTCTCAGGTATTAGAAATTCCTATGACCTGATAATCTGGTTAGCTTCATGTGACCATGACTTCTCCTTCATTTCTCATTTTTCATTAATATTCCATCTGATCTCATTGCTTAATATAATGTCCATTGATCACATTAAGGCAAAAACTAGAAGGGCATCAACAGCTATAGAAAACTTCTAAATATTTCTAGTCCTTTTATAAAGGAAATCTTGGAATTTGCTGATTACTTCAGTCATAGTGATACCAGAGCACCGTGCTACCATGAGAATTTGAAAAGAAATACTAAAAGTGAAAGAGTGAACCACATCACTGGGATCACATGTTGAACTTATTCATGCTTCTAACCTGAGTGGGTTTTAGGCTTTCAGAATGAGATCAGTTTCCCATAATCGAAGACTTAATAACTATTGTAAAAGATACATTCAGTTTACTCCCCATTTAATTATTTAGGAAAGGCTATGAGCTGTTCTTTATGGGTTGGTGTAAGCTTGGAGAGGGTTAACTCAGACCACAGGAATCTGCATGTGGCCCATTGTAATCACTTGGATGTAGATTGAGAAGATAATCTTGCCAGGCTTGTGATTATTAAAAAGCTTGGTCTCTTAGAATGCCTAATGTATTGAATGAAAGCATCTGAGTTCAAACACATCTCCTTCTGAAACTTTATCATTAAAATTCACGAGATGAAAGTTAAATAAACTTCTTACATATTTAAAAACACATTTAAAAACTAATGATGAAATTTATGGTGAGATAACTTCAGAATTCTTCATTGAAGAGACCACTGAATTTTGTTAGTTATTAATATGTACACCGGTAATGTGGGTTATTAAGAAAATAAATGCAATTTTCCACATGAATGAGATATATATATTAGAAATTCTAATATATTAGAATGAAATATATATTAGAAATTCTTATATATTAGAAAATATATATTATATATGTGTGTATATATGTATGTGTATATATATAAAAGTATGTGTATAGATATATAGATATGTAAAAGTCAAGATGAGCTATTTTAAGAAGTAGTGAGCTCCCTGCTCCCAGTCTCTTAAGATAACATTTAAATTCCCATGTTTGAAGGATTTTGTAAAAAATATTCTTTCCTGATGTTTAAGTCTAAATATTGTAAGATCCGTCTGCTTTTCCAACATCTTGCACTATAAATTAGGAGCTTGATAAAGAATAACATGGCTAATATCCACATTTATTAACTCATGCTGCGAACTATATTTATAAACCTCAAAAGAGTCACTTAGCTTTACTAACTTTAGATTCTTCACTCCCTGTGATATTTGTAGCATTCACCTTTTAGGGTTTTGTAAAGATGAAATGAGTTAATAAAGGTAAAGCACTGCACACTTACATTGTAAGCATCCAATACATGCTTGTCATTATTGCCATGGATAATCTGGCCAAAGATTTGGATTGCCTCCCTCCTCCTCTTCTACAGAATGACTCTGATCTGTAGTTGCTGATGGTTTTGATTTATACTTTATTTACTTTTTTTCCTGATTCCTTTTTTGTTTTCTCTACATTTCTCCTACAAGTGAGACCTTTCGATATTTTTCTTTTTCTTTCTGGCTTATTTCACTGAGCATAGTCCCTTCCCCTTCCATGTTGCTGCAAAAGACATGAGTGTACTTTTTGATTGCTGAATAATATTCTATTGTGTAAATATATCACATCTTCTTAATCCAGTCATCTATTTTCGGGTATCAGGTTAAGTAGGAAGAGCACAAGGGACTATGATGATGGTGCCTGGGTGAACTGGTAGTGGAAATTTCATGGGGAAACCACACACTGGACAAAAATGAAGGATGATATAATGAGTATATCAAAAAAGAAAAAATACGTCATTTGAAGGATGATATGAATATATCAAAAAAGAAAAAAGTTACCCTGTTGGGTAACTTTCCTACTTATTCGCTATGATAGTTTCATTTGTCATAGGAACTCCAGTCTCTGTTAATCTTAGGAATTTCATAGTATCGGCAATGATTTTATTAAATTTGATTACCAAAAGCCTGAACATATTGCCATCTTGTCCTGAAATACCCTCATTGTTTTGACTTACCTTGTTAAAATTCCCAATTGCTGAAAAAGCAGGAGCTCTTATTACATATAATGACAACAACCAGGTTCCTAGAAATGGAACAAACAAAATAGTGATATTCTCTGCCTTACTATATATTGACAGGTTTTATTTTGTCATTATATAATGACAACATCCAGGTTCCTAGAAATGGAACAAAATAGTGATATTCTCTGCCTTATTATTATATATTGACAGTTTTGTTTTACTTAGTTGTCTTCTGCATGACTAGCAGCTGGCAATCCCTGAGTGATCACATTAGGAATCTTTCACCCTATGGTGCTGCCAGAAGAGTCATTCAGTTTCAGTCTGAACATGTGTGTCGTGCAATAGATGAATGAGAATCAGATGAATGTCATATGATTGCTCATTCCTTGGTCTGCTGTATCCTTCTGTTTCAGTAAAAGTAGTCCTCCTGAGAATTTTAAGGACAATTTTTCTGAAAGCAGTATTTCTGTGAAAACCCTATCGATATGAAGTTATCTGCCAAGAACAGAGAACTTCTATAAAAATTAAATAGGTACAAGATATGTGTCCACATAACTTTTCTATCAGACCCTTGTTTTTTGTTTTTTTATTGAATTAAGTGGGAGAATCAGAAAACAAAGAGAAAAGCAAAATTATGCAGCTTTTCCAGAAGCAAAGGTTGGCACACAAACATTGAATTGTTTTTTAAGATCTCTCATCTGGAATATTAGGACAGTCTCACTGACTTGAAATAGTGTGAGTACTTAAATCCTTTCTTGATTAACAGAAGTTTTTTGATATGTGTTTAGGTCATTTCTGTCTTGGCTTTGTTTATTTAAATTCAGCTGGAACAAAAGACTGAATTTGGATGATTCAACAAAGTAAATACTTCTAAAACCTAGTGGTCATTAATAAATAAAGTGAGGTTTCTGGGATTAGGAGAGAAGGGGTAGGGGAAAGGACAAAGTGGAAAAATAAAGTTTGATTTTATTAATCATATATATTTTGAAGGCTGTTCAAATACATTAATTGATAGTTGATTAATATCTGTCTCAGAAATTTGGGGAGATATGTCTATGATTAAGCCAAATTTTACCAAAAAGCTTGTGCCACTAACCACTTTGTACATAAAGTTCTTCCTCTTCCTGCTCCACTGACACTGACAATAAGGTTGAGCGCTGTACTTGTTAAGAGACTTCTATTAGCAAAAGGTGTGCAGTTAGCACCAGCTCCTGGCATGACTTAAATTCGGCATTTTGTGAAACTGAGTAAAGAGAGAAAGAACCCACAATCCACAGAGCGCAGGGTTTTTGTTTGTTTGTTTTTAAGAGGTAACAAGGTATTTATTAAAAACTCTTTCACCCAGAGCAGATAAAATTCATAATTTAAAACCCAGCCCATACAAAATAGGGGGGGCGGGGAGATCCAGTGGTTTGAAAACTCACACTCTTGGTGTACCGCAGTCCCCAGCAGGCTCTTTCTGTTTTACTTGTTAGGTCTTCTTTCTTTGCCCTGGAGAGGGCAGTTCCCTCCAAGGTATACTGGTAGCTGCTGTGACTCCCATTAATGTTGAAGTGCGTAATTCTAGTATGCCATGAAGCTTATCTAAAAACCAGAGTCAGTCTTGATGGCTTCATGAAACTTCAGTTTCCCTGACCTATTGATGTCTCCCAGTTCGTGTTTCTTTCTAAAACACAAATCAAAGCATGATCCCTTTTTATTTACACACTTCCTTAGCCTGTAGTGAACCAAATAAACCTAGATTCCTTCATTCAGCATCCAAACGCCGGCTGAATCTTCTACCGCCTGGCTTCACCTTTTACCATTTTTCTTCACCTGCTTTGATTTAGGTACCACAAATCACATTGCTTTCTACTCTAGCACCTCATTCAACACCTGCCTACAGTTGTGTCTCCATTGTGTGTAAAAGTATGCTTTCCTTTAAAGATTATGTTAAAATATGACCTCTGTGAAGCTCCATTCCTTGCTGTCTTTCTATCTTTGACCCAGCAAAATTTTCCAAATTAGCTATTGTGCATCCTATAAACTTAACACATGTGTTACTTTTAAAGCTTGACCTAAATTCATTTTAAGGGCCTTAACTGTATTGAGTTTTACCCAAATTGAAAATCACTTGAAACACTTGAAAGGTTGTTTTCTTTTCTCCTATTACCTTATGCTTTTCTTATCCAGGAGGCAGAACCCTGCGTTTGACACAGACCAGGAGAGAAGATGCTGGCCGATATACTTGCGTTGTAAGGAATGCAGCTGGGGAAGAAAGGAAAAGTTTTGGACTCTCAGTATTAGGTATTTTTATAACTTTCCATATGTAGAAAAAAAATCTGACTTTTATATTCTGAAAGCACAGTTAAATTTTATTTATAGCTTGCTCCCATATTTTTTGTTTTTCTTTCATGCCTAGACTGTCAAAGCTAGCAAAAATTCAGTGTTAGAATTGTTTGGAGGCAGTCAGTTTGAAGAAAAGAGCTGAAATGCCATAGCTTTTCAGTTCATACTTGTTCAACAATACTCTAGGAATCTAGTAACCATTTAATCAGAGTCATTGTTGAAATTATAATGGGGAAATTATGCCATTTGACTTTACATGTACATGTAACCTCAAAGTGTCACTTAAAATTAGAATTGAGGGTCTCCCTGGTGGTGCAGTGGGCTAAAGCACAGCATTATGAAGCTGTCCACAGCTACTGAAGCATGAGTTAAATTCCCAGCCAGGGAGTTGATCCACATGATGCAGCAGACCTCTCCCGTCTCAGCTCCGCTCCCCTCAGCAGTGTGTTTCAGTTATTCTAACTATTCTGCTCCCCACTTCATCTCTGGTGAATCCCGTCACCCTGCCACCATCTCCCCCCGCACCTATGTCCTGTTCTCCAGTTCTTGTATGCATAAATAAATAAATCTTTTAAAAGTAAAATTAGAATTGGTTAAAACAGTATTATAGCATTACTTTAGTAATCGAAAATAAAAATTTGGGCGTTTTAAAGGTAATAGTTTAATGAAAGTATAAAAATGGCCATAAAATAACAGTCCTGCTGTTTAAAATGTTACTTTTTTTTTTAAGTACCACCTCGCATTATGGGTGAAAATACATTGGAAGATGTGAAGGTAAAAGAAAAACAGAGTGTTACACTGACTTGTGAAGTAACAGGTAAGAACTCAGCTCTGGTTCTTCCACTATTCCCCCACTCATTTATCACCCCTGTGATATATCTTAGTTGTCTGAGAAAACAGTCAAACTTTATATTAAGCATTTTATTTCTATGTAAGGTTTCCCACCCACCTCCTCTTATTTTCTCTTTTTTTTTCTGTTTGTACATTCCTTCCTATTTCCTGTTTCTTTTAATTTCATTTCAAGGAAATATTAGGGCTTTGGCTAGAAGGGTGATATTATTGAATGCAAACATTAACTTAAAGCAAAACTATTATCTTAATATGTTTACATATTACAAAGGGAACAGATACTAGGAAAAATGAAAATGAAAATTCAAAAGTAAGTTTCCTCATTTTTACTTTGAATTGGTATGTTGCTGTAATTAAAAAAAAGTCTCTAAAGGACATTTTCAAGCCTGTCTTTTTAGTAAAGATGGTCTTATAGATTGAAAGAAACAATGAGAGTATTCTATAACATTTTATCAAGAGCCAGCATTTCAAGGAAGATTTTTTTGTTTTATATATCATTGTTTATATGCTTTACAAGAGCAATAAATTTAAG